AGGTGACAACACTGGTTCATTCGTTGGGCCCGCAGGGCGGGTACTGACCTGTGGCCGTGACATTCAAGATTGCAGCGGGGAAAACACGCAAGTGGCGAGGGGAAGAGGCCCGCAATAGTTGAAGCAGCGGGGTAACACTCAAGTAGCAGGTAGGCCGGTACAACACCCTGAAGAGGTAGATGGGCCGCATACTCGAGGCCGAGCAGAAGAAGACAAAGTTGTCATTGGCTATGGTGGACCTCATGTGATACCTGCAGTAGAAGAGGGATTCGGACATTGATTCTGGTTCATCAATTCTACATTGTCTTACTATTACTTGTGTGAATAAAAGACGAGATAAGGRKGAGGAGAGTGTTYGGCRAAGAAGAAGAGCATTATCATGTGTCTAYGCTGGTGGAACGGTATTCACCAGTTTGCAGCTCGCAGTAGCYGATGCAGATCCCAGGGATAGATCCCTAGTCCTCACCTTACCWGTGTACAGTATCGGTGTCGACCCCTAGAGTTGAACCCGTGACCTGTGTATTTGTAACAGTTGGTAGACTGTCGTAGGGTTCGTAGGTAGTAGGGGTTCKATCTGTAGACCTGTCGTGTAGTAGTCCTAGCAGGGTCTAGAAGTCGTAGCTGTAGTTCCTYGGAAAGGTCAACGTCGTAGCTGCTASGGTCCTGAAGGGTCAAGGTCGTAGCTGCTAYGGTACCGAAAGGCCAAGTCCACGGCCTTCCGGAAGGTCCTAGYGGTKACCTTTSACGTTTAGGCTGAGGCAAGTGGGCAAGTGGTGGAGTCTACCCGTGCAGAGTCAGCAGTCCCAGTCCCAGTCAGTCCTTGTCCAGTCAAGTAAGTACCGCATGGGACTGCGTGCACTACGGGCATAGGAAAGGGCCAGACCAACGAGCTGCAGAAGTATGAACAAAGAGGCAGCGCCCAGCCATTCATTCATTCCTGCGTGAGCCATGCGGAAGAGTTGCCACAACGACTTGTGCGAGGTGGTCTGCGAGGTGGTCTGCAATGAGCCCGAAGACGAAGTGGGCGAGAGAGAAGGAGCTTAGCCATAGCGATAGGTTAGCAGCGGCCATAGCCGCCATAGTTGTAGATAGAGTTCATAGAGTTCAGTGTGCGAGTGTGCGAGTGTACAGAGTGTGCGAGTGTACAGAGTGTGGCGTGTGGGATATCCAGGGTGATCCTGTGTGTGCGAACAGAGAGGTGTATGGGCGCTGTGCCGCCATAGCCATTGAAGTGAACTTGCAACTGAACTGTGTTCACGGCTACCATATCTCTGAGTTTTGAGTGGGCGCTTGTCTCCAGTTTGCTGCGCACCTGTTTGCATGCATGTAAAGTGTGAAAGATAACGAGTCTGATTGCACTGGCGTACATCATCTTCTTCTTCTTTCTTTCTTCTTCTTCTTCTTCTTCTTCTTCTTCTTCTTCTTCTTCTTCTTCTTCTTACCCTCTCTCTCCTCTCAAGTTCATTCATTTCTTTTCGCAATTGGACGGGCATTTTACTATCTGATGAATGTGTACTTCGAAAAGGGCCAGGATCATAACATGTGGGTGTTTGTTGTATATCGTCTATATTATAAAAAAACATCACTTCGCCAGACTGTTTCGTCAGACTTTTCCCGACTTATAAGGAGATATTGTTTGTTTGTTTGTTTGTTTGTTTGTTTGTTTTTGTGTGCGTGTGTGTGTGTGCGCGCGCGCGTCGAGGGGTGTGTGTGTGTGTGTGTGTGTGTTACCCAGTGAAGGGCTAATTGCAAAAAAAACATGTTTTTTCCATGTTTGGCACCAAAAATGTTGTCCGTTCCAAGTTTCTCTGCAAAAACAGAGGTTTCCCATAGTTTGGCAGCAATAAATACTCAGCGTTTTGCCAATTTTCAAAAACTTGACAAAACGCTGTTTTTCTGCTGGCGAAGTATGGGAACCCGGTGAAGCTGCAACGAGACCTCTAGTTGTGCAGAGGAAACTTGGAACGGACAACACCTTTGCTGCCAAACCTGGAAAAARCAATATTTTTGCAATTAACCYTTCTTTTCTTCTTCCAAGTTGCAGCTTTGGACGTCTATGTAAGYGGCCATGCTTATCTTATCTCTACCGTTCCTTTTTTTTTTYYTTTTTTTTTGACTATTTCTGAATTTATGCGTGTCATGACATCCCCTTGCTATGTATCGTTGCAATTCTAACGGAGGTCCCTGAGGGCGAAATGCCTGAATCTTCTGAAACAATAAGCCATCTTGCATCCAAAAAAGAAGACGGAAAAAAGCCATGTATCAGACGGGACGATGCCTCTTTTAGAAATCTCCAACACAACAAAGCTCAAATTTGTGCGAGACATTCATTCAGTATGAGCATACTTGTTGATACACGGAACRGAAGGTARACCTGGCATTAAGAATTMTTCACTATCTTGTAGGAGATAACAGTAATCAGATGGAAGGTGTGATATGTTCGCCAGCAAAACAATAACAAACCTCGACGATCGATTATAGATGGCCGCGTCTGATGGCGGACTAACAGTCAAATCGTTGTGTGGGGCAGCGCCACGGAGAGTTTACCCTATGGGACAGACGATAACTGGATTTCACATGACGGCAGTAAATCCCACGGAGAGATTTAGACTCCGTACCTTTCCTTCTTACAAGATTCCTGAGGAAACTATCAGTTGCAGAGCAACTGGGCACTGCTGCCCCTGTCCACTCTCTTCGTCTCATACCTACTGACGAGGGAGCCGACTTCTTTTAAAATGGTTCG